TCAACATGTGAACAATATACAGGTACATTTAGAAATGAAAATAAGAGAGAAAAAAATACTATACAAAATACATACAAAAAACGTTCTAATTAATTTACATGTTGAAAGGGAGTGGGAAGTTTTTGCCAAGTGACCTGAAAAGACCTGGAACTAATCCTGTCAATAGATGAATCCAACATGAAACACCTCACTTTACATTTATCTGTTTGTATAGATAAAGCAAACGAGACATGATAAAATAGTTATAACAAAAGGCAGCCAACACAGAAGTGGCAAAATCTGCAGTTCCTCTAATGTCCACTTGAGGCTTACTCCAACAGTCAGTCCACATAGACTCCAAAGTTTAAATGTCCAAATTTACAGCAGAAATCAGCATGTTTGCATCCTGATATAAAATAAAATAGTTTAGTCTCTATAGATAAATCTTCCCCTTTGATAAATCTGTGCTCGGGTGACAGAAACTTTATGGAAAGTTTACACATGCAGCTTGCTGAACCAAAGTAGCATTACCTGCTAATAGCTAATAACTACAGTAAACATCCTAATTCATCTCTATGGATGTCACAGAAACTTCAAACCTTAAGTCCACAAATCAGCAAATGCTGTTCTTATATACAGTCTGTGGTTATATTTACGAGCTTTCATGGTGCTTCTAGGTATAGCTATCCTTTTTTTAAGCATTTACCATGCTTTTGGCTTTCATGCTAAGGAAGTGCCTACCAGCTTTTAGGCAACAATTCAATTCAGTTCAATTCAATTTAGGTCTATTCACATAGCAGCAAATCTTAAAGATACTTTAGGGCATTTTAAATGAAATACAGTGTATTGGGAGTACCACTCCAGGTCAATGGTGTGGAGATATTTGGAGGCTACTGCAGTGTAAAAAAAATGAATATGTGCTCAGGTGCATAACAGGCCTCAAAAAGATAAAGAGGTAAATTCACTCTCTTATCAGCAGTAGACAGCATGGCTGTTTTATCTCAGTGAAGCTGAAAGTGCCAAAAGATTTGGTGCCTTTGCAGATTGTAGGAAAAACAAATCTGTGAATATAAAGGTATGTCTCGGTGTTGGAGTATTAACCTTGTAGGCTACAGAGGAATGCCTGAACAACACTGAAGGACCCTGCTGATAAAATCAGCCACTTGCTGTGCTGTGGAGCTGGAGGTCTTCAATAAATCAGTTGTTTGTCGATTGTGCAACACTGGCTGAAGTCTCGGGTGACGCCTGTTTTCCATTGTTTAAAGTACAAGAGAGGAATTTCTTTAAATGTGAGCTTGACTTGGTTCTTGGCAGCTGATAAACAGCACAAACAGATAACCGTTTAATTTCCAGTCAAAGAACAAAGAACAAAGAGTAACTGATAATCACGCACAGTGCATCCCTAATGGCCTTCAAGTACAAGACGTCCCTGTATAATTGGTAAGGAGTTCAAAGAATCAATAACAGTGTAGGATTTTTAGCTTCTGAGCACAGAGGCACACCTCTGTGAGAGAGGATGCATTCAAAAACCAGCAAACACAGAAAGAAAGAAAAGTTATGCGAGCAAAAACATGCCTCACAAAAGGACAAAAGCACGGATCGGACTGGACTGATGCTCTCCCTCCTTCAAGTACACCTCCACAGGTATTTACTTGGTGAGCAATGGACTTGATATAATGCCAAAATACAAATACGCTCCACACATGTACAAATGTGCGATAAAATGGCCCATTCATGGCTACTCTGATTCATGATGAGTGGATTATGTGATTGTTGGACGGTGGTTGATATTACTCAGCCTATTCTTTGGAAATGAATGTGGGAGGCTTCCTTAAGCTCCTCGCACGCACCAGGTTGGCCTTCACCTGCTCAGGGTTAGGCTCAGATCCACGTCTACTACTTTTTATATGCAATTTTTACGTATTTGTTACACCCAAAGGTTATCATGAAAAAACTTTAAGGTGAAAATGCATGCAAGAATCCCGTGGCAGGACTCCAAGAGCAGTCATTTTCTTCACCATTTTCTTTTAGTGGGCAGGTGTTAGGTGTACATTTAATGGCTTTACTGTCCTGTCCGGTGTCTACCTCATCTCACCAGGACAGGGCCGAGTCACTCTATTACTCTAAATTGGTCAAGCAGTTAATAAGATCTCTCTCCTAGTCTAGTCAAATGCAAAATTATGTACAGGAATGTTGTTGTGCTGTCCTTTTAACAATTGGAATGAAATGAAACAAACAAAACACTCTCCACCACTGAGTGAAGAGTAAGAAACTCTTGACCTCTTTCTCTGGAGACTCTGACCTTTCCTCCTGAGCTTGCCGATAATGACACTGACCCCGGGGGCATCATGGTGTTTATGTCACTGACGAAGGCTGAGAGGTGATGGCTGTGAAAGGCCAGATAAGTAAGTTTCCCATGAAAAACACAATGATTCAAAGCTTACACGCTGGTATAAGTAAGTAGCGTAAAAGTCCGGCAATACAAGCTGGTGGATGCCAGTGAATTTGATTTCAAGAACAAAGACATTTCCATTTGTTTTGGCTGTTGAAAGGATTGATTGACATTCATTTCTTGACCTCTATTCTGCATGGAAACACCGGCAGCAGCCGTGCAGCTTTTGCCATCACATTATGACCAGTTTTGACGTCAGTGATAACATCGCTGATTCTGCCATGTTTGCAGGATACACATCAAGGGCCAGACCAATGCAGTCTATTGACATGCTTAAATTAACCCAAAGATAAGATATCCATGTTAATAATGCTACATACTTAGGCCACGTATGCTCCTTTGTTTACTGTTTGCAGTGTTTTGATTTTACTGACCTACATTAATGTGTTACTGATGCACAGTATATATGCATGACATTTATATGTGGTAGGATAAACAAGCCCTCCTTCTTTGGGCTTTTGGCAGCAGGAACAGAATATGTCAGATTATTATTGTTTATCTGACATGTTTTCCGTCACCTCATAGGCTGGGTCCTGATAGCGGTTTGATAAGGGCTACAGCGGGAAGATGTGCTATGAAAACCTCAAAAAAACTAACACTAGTGCACGCTTCATTGCAGGTTCTGATTATTTCATTCTGTAAGTTCAGAATAAATTGGTTTTTTGCCCATACATACAATCAGGGATTCAAAAGGAAAGTCTGACTTTTGAAACTACAGTCAAACAGTGCTTTAAAATAAAAGCCTCCAATCCAAATATTTGTATGAATATATTTGTACAATAACATTTCTGCCCTGTTGCTCTGTTGTTTGTCTTGCAGTCTTAATGCACCACCCATTTACATTCACAGGGAAGTTAGGTAACTGTCATACATGAATACCTGGAACTCAGAGTAACAGTTATTTGCATGCAGTAAACATGCTGACTCGGCGTTCTCTCAGTTCACTGCAGCACTGGCCTGCAGATTTTACAGATCACTTTAAAGGGTTTTTATCCACCTGGCCCAGATATCTGTCTGAACCTCTTGATGCTCACTCTCTGTTTCCAGGTCAAAGGTTCAAAGTCTCAGTGTTAAAGTCTTTCCTCTGTGTTTCTTTATGTCATTCTGTCCATCTCCCCCTCAACTCGGCGTATTTTTAGCATGTCACTGTCTTCTTCTGTCTTTTCCAGCTCTGCTATAAATCAAGACTGGATTAAACCTGTGCGTTTACTGCCCCTGACCTCTAATCTTTTTTTTCCACTTTCAGTATCCAATCAGAAGAGTTAGAAAATGATTCACCCTCATAGAGTTTTTATGAAGGGGGAAATTATCCACAGAGGCCAAATCAGTTTTTTATATCATGTTTATTTCTGCTGGACACTGTAACACAGGAGTCTACAGAGACTGTCTCACTTTTTCAGCCCCAGAGGCTGCATCTTGGATACAACCCATTGTGTATCCACTACAGTGTTTTATTTCATTTGTTTAACCCACACAGAGAAGCAGAATAATAAAGAAGGGGTGTGGTTTGATGGAGAGTTTTTGGCGGATTTAATTCCTGACCAAACCAGTTTGGATCATTTCAGGTCGCCAGGCTGTTGGACAGACAAGCTTTTCTGCTATCACCTGTTCACTATACAGTCTCACCTTTTATATGTAAACACGAGGTGAAATGTTCTACTCAACTATCTTAAATCTTTCAATAGCAACCTCAGCTGATCAAAACTGATGTAAACCTGGAAGACCCACAAACTCCAACTCCTCTAATGCCCACCTGAGGCTGGCTCCAGCGGTGAATCAGTCCCCATACACTCCCATGTTAAAAGGTCCAAATTTACAGCAATTCAATTCAGTTTGATTTATATCGTGCCAAATCACAACAACAGCCACCACAAGATGCTTTATACTGTAAGGTAAAGACCCTACCTACAATAATACAGAGAAAATCCCAATAATCAAACAACTCCCTATGACAAAGCACATATTGACAGTGGGAAGGAAAAAATCCTATTTAACAGGAAGAAACCTCCGGCAGAACCAACCATCTGCTGTGGCAGATGTTGGGGGCAGAAATTTAAAAAAATAAAGATTTCCAACTTAATAACAAATGTGCGGGAGGAGAATTTATTTACAGCCATCGTTTAAATATATAGTCTATGGGGGAGTGACTCATTTTTGGAACCTGAAGTGGCCGTTATAGGAATCCACTACACTGGCATCATTTTCCAGCCTCTGACGTTATCGCTCCTCAGTCCCCTTTGCCCAGGAGCCCTTCAGCAAACTAACAACACACCACTGCACCACCCCAGAGATGAGCCAAAAGGACCAAAGGGTGTGTTACTTCTGGGTAAATCCCAGTGTGAGTGTAGTGAAAGGTGGAGTTGGGAGACTTTCCAAGCACAGCCAAGGGTGAAGTAACACATGGCTGCCAGTTTAAGGTCTGTTAAGGCTCATCTGAGGTGGAAAACCCGGCAGAAACAGAGGCAGAGCGGAGACATCCACTCAGACTCGAAGAGGGATTACATTTACAGCAGTCAGTTCATGCAGTGCAGCTTTCAGTGGTTTACAACGAGGAAGGTGTCCTACATACCTGGACGATAAGATGGCAAAGTCCCCACCATCAACCAGGCGGATCTTACAGAAAAGCACTCCGTTCACAAAAGGCACCGCTGTCAGCTCCTCCAGAGTGAAGTGCACCTGAAACTTGAACTTCTTCTTCTTCATGAGGAAGGCCATGGTGCCCAGCTGCTGGAGGGTGCTCATGGTTGAAGATGAATGAACAACAACAAACACTCGGGCTTTAAAGAGGAGGAGGAACAACCTTCTTTGCTTTTAGGTTAATCATTTCTGAAACAGAAAGAGAAGAAGAAAGTCTCTCGCTTTCATTTACAGGTTTTTAGAACTGGAAATATCAAGTTTAATGATTTTTTTTTCCTTCTCCACAACACAAAAATATCCCTTAAATACAATTTAACGCACTCCTAACTGACGACTATGTGATTTTAAACACTTTCAGATGTGTGGACTTTTTATTTTTGTGTCTCTCTAACATTATCAGACTCTCGCGGTGAAAAAAGCTGCCACGCAAACACCCACACCACTCCGCACACACACAAGCTTACCGCTCCGACGATCAGCTGCTCCACGTGCATGGTTAAAAAAATGAAAAGCCCACAACAGCACAGCTGGACACCGCTGCAGAGGACTGGGGTCTGGGTGGTTTCTTCCAACACACCAACTTTCCCCTCCTGGTGCTCACACTTCGACAGGCGGTGAGTCTGAGCGGCTCCCTGAACGCCTCACTGGGAAGTCAGGGACCGTCCGCAAAGTCTGGGCAGAGGCGCATGTGAAGAGGAGGAGGGGCCAAGAACTGCATTAAAAACAAACATGAAGAGGAAGGCCACTGGAAGGGAATGGGGGCTCTTTTGAATTTTAATTTTACTTATTTATTTTGAATGTTTAGAAAAATAGAAAAAATATAGTATAAAAGCACAGTCGGAATTCAGATTTTTTCCTCAAAATTATAGAAAGAAATTTCCAAAAGATCTCTAATCCTAAATAAAAGAATAAATCCTAAATCAAACCGTCTGAAAATTCTGTTAGATCTAATCGCTTTAACTGTGGACAGACCTGACTCTATAAACATGTAAAACACCAAAAAAAAACCACCCTGCAGTTCCTCTAATGTCCTACTTGAGTGAGTGAGTTGCTCCTCCGTAGACTCAAAGGTTAATATGTCTCGCATTACAGTAGGAATAAACATTTTTACAGCCTGATACACAAACTATTTCAGTCTGTAGGAACTTATGATCATAACATCTGTAGAGGGGTGAATTTATTAAAAACTCACCTGTTTAAATTACATCAGGGACAAAGCTTGCATTGTTAGGGGTGTCACATGCAACTGGTTCACAGCCCAACTCCCATTTTTTTGTATTTGTCATAAGTGTTATATTTAAAGGAAAATGTGTTTGCATTTTTAATAAACAGCTAGGTTTGATTTAGAAAAGTACATTTAGACATATAAAGATTTAAAGCTTTATCAGACTTAACAACTCGTTGACCAGATTTAACGCAGAAAACATCGTCCATCTGGCTATGTAATAAGCAAGGTTATTAAAACCAGATGTGAAAAAATATTTTGACTAAAATAAAAATAAAAACTACACTTTTGAAAAATGTAAACTAACTGATTTGAAATAAAATAGAGCTACAGAGGAAATACTGTTAGTTTTAGTACATCAGTAGTTTGATAAAAACTTCCCTGATGAGACATTGATAGACGTGTTTACTGAGATGCAAGACTGTGAGTCACTGCTTTAAAAACTGTTTTTATTGTAATACCTGTACAAACTTTCCTAAATCTTCCCTCTGACATATGCCCTCCATGGAATAATACTAAGACTAGCAGAAACTAATTAAACTAAATACAAAACTGTGGTGATACGTTTGCCTCGTGCCCTCTTTGCTTCAGGAAATGAAGATGCCTTCTTAAAAAAATTGATTAAAGACTGATAAATATCAGCAACTAACGTCAATGAATCTCATCTTATGGTGACAGCAGCCAACAGGGTCAAGGAGCTATTGCCAATGTTTGCTCTGAACTCATAGTGAAAGGTGCTTTACTGAGCTTTTTTAGATACCGTTCTTTGTTAGGGACAGGTCACATGACTGGAAAAGGAAAAAGAGGTTCAGCAAACAACCTGAAGTAGAAATGATGAACTGTGAAGTAATAATACTTATTACAGGAATAACTGATTTGTTAAGGGTTTTTAAATGAAAACATCAAATTAAACTCCAGTACACCCTGCAGTACTGAAGTGTCCTCATTTGTGAAATTTAATCTGATACTGATATTAACAAACTGATTTCCTTCCCCTCACCCTCTCAGGACCTCAAACGTCACTGCTGTGCTCACACACCTGTAATGAAACTCTGACTTACACTGACCTCTGCTGGCTGGTTGCAAGCACTACAGCCAGCAGAAAAAACAACCTGCTCTGTATATTTCCATCTCCATCTTTCCAACTGTTGGCTTTTTAGAGTAGGCTATCATGATTTATGTTTCATAGTTAACTTTATTTAGTATATATCGAATCATACACCCAGAATCAAGTTTTCCAGCCTGAAGGCACGCCTTCAAGAGCACGTCATTTTATTGAACATTCAACAAGTTTTGCACCATGAAATCATCCCCAGGGTGAGATCATCATTGCTGAGGTCTGCTGTGAAGTCCTCTGAGGCATCTGATAGTGAACAATCAGAGGAAATGAACGGTGGTGCACGCCATCACAATCGCCTCCCTGAAACATTTGGATACACTGGAAAAGATCCATCACACACTGCAGAGCAGAGTACGGGAGGAACATAACAGCATCACAGCGGATGGAAGCTCCGAAAACAATTTAGAGATGCACAAGAAGACGATACCAAGAGAAGAGTGGAACTTTGGATGTGTTTCAAGTATTTTATAGAAAGCCTGCTCTCTATGACATGATACAGATCCAAGAGTAGAAAAAACTGTGTGAAACTAAGTGTTTAAAACTTTTGACTCATGGGGATCATTCGTTCACTCACTGACGTCTTTTACCATGTTTAACATGAACATCTGCCCCTGGGACAGGAGAGATGTGACAGGAAATAAAGAGTTTGGCCTCTTTTTCACTTTATTCTGGTCTGAACACATGCTGGTTAAAGTGCAGCTCACACACAAACCTGGCTCACCACGGTCTAAAAAAACCAACCCGTTAATTTTCCATCAGGCTGATGAAATATTTGCATAAAAAAAGATCAGAAAACCAGATTCAGGGTATTAAATAACATCAAGTCGTGGCAAAAAATAAAAATAACAGTTCTCCATTGGTTCTGTACATGTTCTTCATAAGGCATAAGTGTAATCATGGTTCACACACGTACACACACACACACACACACAACCACGCACAGAGTCTATTGCACCTCCTCAGCCTGTTGTGTAGGAGGAGGCGGAGGTGTTTTGGGCCTGCTCTGCTCCTCTGTTGCCGCTCCATCAATGGTTGCTCCAGTTGCCGGTGTCGCCACAGAGCTGCTGGCGTTCGCAGCCTCAGACCCGCTCTGCAGAAACTTCCTCAGGTCTTTGAGAGCCGGTCGGAGCATCTGTACCAACGCGAGCAGGGCGGCCTGCGTGCCCTCCAGTGCCTGAGCTTGCCTCTCCTGGGCAAAGGCCTGCGCCTCCTGGGAGCGCCGCATCATCTGCAGCAGCTCGTTCTGGCCCTCCAGGTGCTGGGCGATCTGGCGGATGTGCACGTTGGTGACTCGCTGCTCCTGCAGCAGGCGGGCGGAGTTCAGAGCAATGCGGCTCTTCAGCTCCTGCGGTTTGGCATGACTCTGAGGTGGCGGCGGGGAAACGGAAGACGAGGCCAGCATCTCCATGGGAGCCTCGACCGCGGCCACCACAGTCGGGGCAGAGTCGCCCTCAGTGGTGGTGCAGTACTCCACCACGCCGCCATCCTCCAGAGTGTGGTACGTCGTCTCAGCTGGAAGCAGGAATCAGTTTCATTTCATTTATTTATTTAGTTTCAGACGTTTATTAAAAGCCTCACAGAGAACGTGAAGAAACAACTGCTCTGAATTCATGTCTGAAACATCTTTCTATTGTGCTGAAGAAATATAGACTGAAGCTGAATTAGGGCTTGGCTGTACTGTCATGTAATACCAATAAGCAGCAGAAGATGGCGCAGTGAATCAGTGTAACCTTTATTCCTTTAACCAGGCAAAAAGAAAAAATGGTATTTAATGGTAAGAGAGCTAAAAGTTAAAATGTCGACCCCTGGTAGTGATTAAATCTGTAGAATAATTACAAAATGCACCTTTTAAAGCACAGCAGTTCAACACCAGACAGTCCAGTAGAGTTGTGATTAGAAACTCTGATGGCTCTGCAAGTGTCACGGCTAAAGTTTGAACATTTGCAAAGAAATGAAACGTACCATTCAGCTTTGAGTCATCACAGATTGTCCCGGCACCGGCTGGAAGAGCTAAAAGGCAAACAGAGGAAGAAGCTAAAACCTCAATGAAACTATCAGCAAATCTTTAATATGTATTTTTTATTTTAAAAATGTAACTCTGAATTTAAATGTTACATTTTTGTAATTTATTATCATAGTCATATGATCAGATTTCATATTTATAATCCAAATTAGTATTGAATTAAAATATTAAAATGTAATATTAGGATTTAACATTTACTACATTATTTTTAAATTTTTGGTGTCAAATGTTGCCCACTTGGCTTTCAATAGCTAACTACCATAATAATGGATTGGATTTATATAGCGCTTTTCAAGGCACCCAAAGCGCTTTACAATACCACTATTCATTCACTCTCACATTCACACACTGGTGGAGGCAGCTACGGTTGTAGCCACAGCTGCCCTGGCGCAGACTGACAGAAGCGAGGCTGCCATATCACGCCATCGGCCCCTCTGGCCAACACCAGTGGGCAAGTAGGGTAAAGTGTCTTGCCCAAGGACACAACGACCAGGACAGAGAGCCCAGGGATCGAACCGGCGACCTTCCGGTTACAGTGTGTGTGTCTTTAATATTTAGATTTAAAATTTTGCATTTATATTTAAATGATTTTATAATCATACATTATACACTATATATTATGTTTAAAAGTATCTTATAATAATAGATAATGATTTAAATTTAATATTTAGAATTTAGTACATTTGTGGTTGACTGCAGTTTGAATGTAATTCCTACTTTTTAGTATGGATCTCACATATTTAATTAAAATATTTCATTAACCTATTAACTTTTAAATGTAAATTTAATAAGCTATTAGCTTTTTGTTTACATGTAATAATACATTTAAACATACTTACATAAAATATTAAGCCTGTGTCGTTATTACGTAGTTTTAGTTATTTTGCATTTCATGTAGTATTTTGGATTAGAATGCAATACAACTATACTTGTAAACATTTAACTTACAGACCAATTTCTAACTTTACATTTATTGTTCAGGTATAAACATAAATGTAACTAAACTATAATGTTTACTGTGACATTTAATAACACTTTCATTCACTTTTTCTGTCTGAGTTTTCAGTTGTTTCAGAAAATACTTAAACTTCACACTTCTTTTTTTTTTTTTTTACAGTGTTACACGCACAGTTATTTTCGGCACGCTTCACTTTCCGTACTTCACCGTGCGGCACTCACCCTCCGTCAGAGTGACGGTTGCGGCGGCGTTGACGGTCACAGGTAAGGTGATCTCCGCATCCGAGTCTCCGGCAGGTAGGCTGATGATGGTGGCCTCTCCCAGCAGGTTACAGATCCTCTGCTGCATGGCGGTGAGGATGACGGGAACTGGAGTGCAGTCCGCGGACGTCCCCTCGATGGCAGCCCGCGCTTGGGCCACCTTCCGCCGGACCTCTGTCTTCATGTCGGACCACTTCTTCTTCACCTCGGGCAGCTCGCGCGGACAGGTGGTGACCTGGTTCACCTTTTTCAGGATGTCCATCCACGCGTTATTCTTAGCCATGTGTGTGACTCCGGCATTGAAGTGGTTAACCAGTGTGTGCTTTTGTTTCTCTATTTCTTCCACTATAATTTCCACCTCCCTCTCCGAGAAATTCATTTTTCTCTTTTTGGCCACCGATGCCATAAGTGCAGAAAAGCGTCTTTACGGCAGGTAATTGTGCGTATTGTACGCAAAAATAGTAGGATTTACTCCGGTAATGTGCGCAACGTAATGGCTTCCAGAATCGGCTTCTTCTTCCTACTAACGACGCTTACGTTAGATGGAGGACGTAGCCCCGCCCACCGACTCTTCCATTGGTTGAGGATCTCGCGGTAATGCGACATTCTCTCTTACTATTGGACCAAACAAAAGCCAATCAACTCAACAAGCCAAACAAAAAGACGAAGTTTAAAAAAAAGAAATGTTACCGTTATCTCGCTTTTTTCCAAGTTACACTTGAGTGAAAACAACGTTTAAAGCGTAAAAAAGAAAACGTAAGGGGAACATGTCAGCTGGGATATGACTGCTTCATCAACAGCATGGTTTTAATACTGCTGCTAAAAGGTAACAATTCTAAAGACGTCTTTAAACTGAATACTACTAATAATCAATATTATAATTATTGTAACCTCTCATTATTTACAAATTTCCAAGACACCATGACACCGTGAACAATTTTCAGTGTCTTGAATGAGGGATTTAATAGTGAAAGGCAAGTGTCTTGCTTGTGGTCGGTCAGAGTTATGTTTTCTCGATGATGGTTTTTCTCCCCTCTGGAAGAGGATCCTTCTTTCCTTTTGATTGTTGTAGGTGAAACTCACATTTTTTAATCTCTTCTTTGTTAAAAGAAGGGCAGCTGTGGCTACAACTGTAACTGCCTCCACCAGTGAGTGAATGTGAGAGTGAATGAATAGTGGAATTGTAAAAGTGCTTTGAGGGTCTCCAAAAGCGCTATATAAATGCAATCAGTTATTATTATTATTATTATTATTATTATTATTATTATTATTATTAAATATTATTATTTAATAATTATTATTATTATTAAATACCTCTGACATGTTAAGTTCACTCAGTCTGTTCAATGGGACTCTGCTTCCTGTTCCTCAGAACAAAATCTGTTCTTAAGACTTTGAAAGAAACCACTGAAAACTGAGCTGGTTCATGAGCTACCCAACAACCTTGTTTTAATCTGCGTTTGAACAAAGAATGTTTTCCATGTGTGATAACCGCAATGACAACTACACAACAGAAACAGTTTGCCCTATAAGAATAAAGGAGGAAAAAGCTAACAGAGTCTGGTGCTCCATGTTTCTCTCTCTGTTTCATGTTTATGTCACCAATACCTTAACATAGAAAGGTGATTGAAAGCAAAAGGAAAAACCATCTGTCAATGGGGCATAAAAGACTAAATGAAGCAAAAAAACAAAGTGCAAATACAAAAAAAAGGTAGAAGACAAGGTGCATTAAGAAAAAAGGAAGACAAGAAGCAAAAAATAATAATTTCACAATTATCATGAAACTGACACAAATTGACCAAAAATGGTAGATTGGGATGGGATGGTGGATAAAAGATGGTGAAGATAGAGCTCCCCACCAGAAGGAAACAAAAGTTCTGTCAGCTCTGCGCTCTTCAAGGTCACACTCAACATTTTCAGTGTTTAAGGTGGAAAGAAGATCACAAAGATTTAGTGATGTGCTGAAAAATGACAAAAAAAAATCTGATATTTGGGGTTAAGTAACCAGAATTAGCTGGAACTTTAACTGGAACATTTTGTTTTTTGTTTGTGGGTCTAGTGGTTAACACATCTGAATAACTGTCTTCCCATGCAGAGATTGAACCCTCATCATGTGGATACTTCCAGGCACTTCAACTGTTTCAATCTTTCCCACTGATCATCAATGGTAATTCTCTTCAGTAAGAATTTAACCCTTGTATGGTGTTCGGGTCTGTGAGACACGTGTTCAGTTTTTTTCAAAAGAAAAATTAAACAATTAATTATTTTTTCACGTGTAAATGTGTTGTGTCTTTCCACTCACTCCACTTGATTATAACTGATGTATTTATAACATTTTATATAAAAGAAAAACGAGAAGCACATTAATTCATAAATGTGATCTAACAAAGGTAAAGGGAAAAAATTAACCATGTTTGCTGTTCATATGTCTTGTAATTGGGATGAAGTAAACATCTGTTGAGTAATTTAACATAAAATTGTTTGATAGTGTTAATTTGGAAAGCCAAAACTCTAGCGGGTCCACCAGACCCATGAACACTGGCTGAGTAACAAAAATACGAACACCACACAAGGGTTAATACCCTCTCTGACCACAGTGTAGCACTGTTACACATCAAATTTGACTGTCGTAATAAATAAATCAGTGTCCCACACTGTGTAAAATGAGCCTCTGTCCTTGTTTCTGATTGGTCAGATGCTGCCAGCATCATCTCTTTCATGTCAGCACTCTTGCAGCGAGGTTAACAAACCCTGGGTTGACTTATCCCATTTGTGACGAGCTTCACGTGGCTGCTGATGTTAGGATAAGAAAACCTGGACCAAGAAATAGATCCTGGATATGTGGAGCTAGTTTCAGAGTGCAGGGCCGAGCTCTGAAGCTGCTTTTATGTCTCAGGGTAAAGAAAACTATTTGTTTCTACACTACATGAAAAGTTTGGACTTACCTTCAGGACTTGATTTCTGTTTTGTTTTTGTTTTTACTTTTACCTTGTTTTATATTGTGCCGTTTTGTCGTGGTTGCTTTGGTTTAGAAGCTTCAACCTTTTTGTTTTCCCCCATCACTACTTTTAATGTACCACCTCAGTATTACCCCACATCATGTGTGGAACATGTTTTCTTTCTTCTTTTTTTGCACCTGTTTGGTACCTTTTAATTTTCCCATTGCATTTTTTGCTTTAGGTTTGTTCCCTGTGTTGATTTGTTTTTTAGTGTTTTGTACTTTTGAACCACTTGTTTTTTTTAATCAGTTGATTATTTCAGATTCTTTTCTAGTGTGTGTGTTTTTGGAAGCATGTGTGTTTGTGTTGAGCATTTTTGCCAGTAACCCAGCACCCAGATTTGATCCATTTTTACCCAGTTGTTACTCGGGGTCCTTTTCCACTTTTCTGTCTTCAGCGCTGCCGACAAACAGGGTTTAATATTTAATGAAGTTCAGTTTAGAGTGAGTTAAGAAGAGTTTCAGAACTAGAATAGAATTCAACTTTATTGTCATTGCACATGCACAGGTACAGGGCAACAAAATGCAATTTGCATCCATCCAGAAGTGCTTTAGTGATATAGATATATTACAATATATATTAGCAATAATATAGATATGTGAGTATATTACAGAAATGGGTCTATTATGGTATGTTATAATGTACACGGTATGAAGTATGTTGTGAATATTCTATAACTATAGGTATGTACAGGCTGTAGTGAGTACAAGCTATGATATGAACAGGATATAAATATGAAAAACTATACAGAATATGAAATAAATAACTTTACAGAAATCTGAGATATACAGCTATACAGAAATGGGAACTATGCAAGTTGTAAACAGTTGTAGGGTTAAAAATTATCGAATGTACAGAATGATTATTTACACAGAGCTATACAGTAGTGCAGTTAAGATAAGTGAGGGTGTAGATAGTTTCTACAGAGGCTATATAAAGTGCTAGTGGTTGTGAGTGGTGGTTCAGTCCATGTTATTATTGTATGTTTGAGGGTACAGTTGTCCATTGTGGGTGTGTGTGTTCAGTCCATGCGTTAACGTGGGTCAGATGTCAGGAGGCAGAGTTCAGGAGTCTGTCAGCTGTGGGGAAGAAGCTGTTCCGGTACCTGGTGGTCTTAGTCCGGAGGCTCCTGTAGCGCCTCCCAGAGGGCAGGAGGGTGAAGAGTCCATGTGATGGGTGACTGGGGTCTTTGATGATTTTCCCATCCCTTTTCAGACACCGCTTCCTGTAGATGTCTTTCATGGCAGGAAGTGGTGCTCCGGTGATGCGCTGGGCAGTTTTCACGACCCTCTGCAACGCCTTCCGGTCCGAGGCAGAGCAGTTCCCGTACCAGACTGTTATACAGTTGGTCAGGATGCTCTCGATGGTGCAACGATAGAAGTTCACCAGGATGTCTGAGGACAGGTGGTTCTTCCTCAGAGTCCTCAAGAAGAAGAGGCGCTGGTGAGCCTTCTTGACCAGCTTGGAGCAGTTGGTCGTCCAGGTGAGATCCTCGGAGATGTGGACACCCAGGAACTTGAAGCTGCTCACACGCTCCACAGCCGTCCCCTTAATGTGGATGGGTGGATGTGGGTCAGCATTCCTCCTGTAGTCCACGATGAGCTCCTTGGTCTTCTCGGTGTTAAGCAGCAGGTTGTTTCTGTCGCACCACTCAGCCAGACGATCCACCTCCTCCCTGTAGGCGGCCTCATCGTTGTCACTGATGAGGCCAATCACCGTGGTGTCATCTGCAAACTTAATGATGGTGTTGGAACCATCAGCAGGTCTGCAGTCGTGGGTGAAGAGGGAGTGGAGGAAAGGGCTCATCACACAGCCTTGTGGTTCATCGTGATTGTAGATGAGCAGCGGTTATCCAGCCGGACATGTTGGGGGCGGTTGGTCAGGAAGTCCAGTAACCATTTGCAGATGAGGGAACTGATGCCCAGGTCTGTCAGTTTCTTGATGAGTTGTGAGGGGTGGATTGTATTGAATGCTGAACTGAAGTCTATAAACAGCATTCTGGCGTAGGTGTTGTTGTTGTCCAGGTGTGAGAGGACAGAGTGCAGTGCGATGGAGACTGCATCCTCTGTACTCCTGTTCTGGCGGTATGCGAATTGGTGGGGGTCCAGGGTGGGGGGGAGACAGGATTTGAAGTGTGCTAGGACCAGCTGCTCTAAGCACTTAGTGATGATGGGGGTGAGTGCTACTGGGCGGTAGGCATTGAGGCAAGATGGGTTGGAGTTTTTGGGTATCGGGACGATGGAGGTGGATTTGAAGCAGGCCGGTACCACAGCGTGGGCCAAGGACAGATTGAATATGTCTGTGAGCACTCCTGCAAGCTCCCCAGAACACGCTCTGAGAACACGCCCGGGGATGCCATCAGGACCTGCAGCCTTGTGGACATTGATCCTGCTCAGCACCGCTCCTACATCGGTAGGGGAGAGAGTCAGAGGTTGGTGGACTAAGCATTCATATGACTGTTTTGCACAAACGTTTAATGTGAGTATGTGTTTGAGTGTCCACTGTGGTTCAGATGTAGAGCAGAATTGTCTAATTTCAGGAAGTTAACCACAGGCACATGGTATCTAGTATAGTGGAGTGTTTAAAGACCTTGCAAATAGGAGGCTGAGGTACAACTCCTTGATGGAGATGAAGCTCTGTCCTTTCTTAAATGTTCGAGTTCATACTGTAAGCACTTTTTGAACCAGCTCAGCATTTCAGGTTCACCCATCGGATTTCCAAAAAGAGAAGCTTGACGCATCACTGCAGAGAACATGCAGTCTGCATGCCTTGGTGCTTGAATTTATACACCTGTGGTCATGGAAGTAATTGGAACACCTGAATTCAATCATTTGGATGGGTGAATGAAAATGTTTGCCGATCAGCAGAATGTCATCTTACATTCGTGTATCACAGCATATAGTCCAGTTTCATGTTTACTCTGATCAAATACTGGGATTCAAGGTCAAAATGACCCATAGACTCCAGCTTGCAAAACTTGGAACCAACGAGGAAGCCGATGCATTTAGTGATGCAAATAAGAGAAAAGTGTTGAAGGCAACATTACCCAGTCTGTGATCAAAAACTTTACATTTTAAAAGATCATTTATTTGCAATCCAGTCACACTTAGAAACTTGAGTTTTGGCCACTGTTACAAAAATATACGCAAAAGTTACCTTCATACCATACAGAGAAAATAATCAGATTCAGGAAAATAAGTCTAGAAAAACTAACACCACACCCAACCCTCTTCCCTAGAAGCAAATCCCTCCCAGTTGTGCAAATAAAAAACACTTCTGTTCACTTGGAAGAAGCTGTGTCCAGGTGTTTGAGAGCTCCTCCCACCAGATAAAGGCTTCCAGTGATGAGGACGTGGATCTCACTAGCTTCGCGGAGAGGAGCAACTTTGGCCGTGATACTCGGTTTAACCAGCAGCGTCATCTTGGCCTGATCGGCCAGCACAGAGTCCCTGCCTTGTGTGATCCACTGGAGGGCGCTGAAGATGCACGGGAACACCAAGGTGTCCCCTCTGTGCTCAGGTAAATTAGGAAGCCTGTCCTCAATCAGCAATGGATTATCTCCATTGTCATCCAGGTGGTTATGGAGGCGCCAGATCCTCTCATTGTCCCAGCAGCGAGTCAGCATTTCCTCCACAGACATGTCAAACTTCTTCTCCTGTACTGAAGAAGGTGAAAGAATAAGTTCAAAGTTTTTGGCTCAGAATTATTCACTGGATAAAATAGTCTCTTCTTGCATAATCTGCATCTGGAAACACAGACTCCAACACAAACTCCACACAAGTAAACTATAAAAATGTGCTTCAGATAACATTAGATTACAACAGCACACTTCTGGACACCGATACTGTGTCCAGACTGATTTTATATAGAACGATCTGTACAGGTGCAAACAGGTTCAGCAAACTCACTACTGGAGGTGCTGACTTCGGCAATGCATGGGCAGAACACAGCAAAGTCAAAGTGGCACGGCTGCAAAGAAACAAGACATGCAAAAAAAAAGTTTTCAACTCTATACGTACTGTCACGTCCTTGCCAACATACCTACAAATGCATTCAGGTTCGAAGAACTACTCACCACCAGGAGTTTAAGGAAAGCAGCTGCGTCTCTCTCTCCTGTAACGTTGAACAGCAAAACTCTGGCCACAGGGCCACTGAAACACAAACACATCAAAGTGTCACATCACATAGCATTTGATGTAAAAATATTTCTGTAGATCCACCTACAATTGGAACACACACTCTGGTCCATTTTGTTAACAACAGAGACCGGACTAAATGTTTAAATTAAAAATTCTAGCACATCTTTTTTTTTTTTAGCTCACCTGGCGTTCCTCTCATGCTCAGCTGCAGTCTCTCTAAACCATTCAGAACAGGCCTGGATGCTGTGCAGGGTGTGAGCTCCATCCAGGAAGTAGGTGACCGCTCCATGTTTTAGGGTCTGGCTCCTGCCGGGCCACTCGGTATCTGCCAACCCTGAGAGCAAACGCATTCACTGTTACATCAGCTGGCCCTGGGTGGGTCCTGTTGTTATCTCATTGGCTCTGCGGGACTCACCTTTCACCATCACGGGGCTGGGACTGAACGCAGTCGCCTGAAGCATCCCGCCATTGTTAACAGTGCTACAGGGGAAGCTATTATCTGTTCAGAGAGGACAGGTACATTGAAGGTACAGTAACCAAAGCTTGCAGTTATTATTTGCATTATTTTGTACTAATCATTTATTTATTTATTTCTGGATATATGTTTAAACATCAGCCCAACCTGGTAGACCCCTCATCTGAAGCCAGGTGTGACTCAGCTGGAGGGCGAGGGAGGCGTTGGAGCGCTGGTGCTGCCCTGCAAGGCCCAGGTGCAAAGGTCCACATTCTGCCTGGTAGTCCACAGTGGACACTGCAACAACAGGTTAGAGAGAGTTATAGAAAGCTGAAGCTTCACTTTCCTGTGTGA